GTTGGGCAATCCTACTTCCGTAGTGATACTGTCTCGGAAACCCAAGGAGGGGTCGCTATGAGTCGGGGCCGACTCGACGGCAAATAACAACAACAACATAACAGTTATTGTTATTGTTAGGTGCCATCCAGTGGATTTCAACTCATAGTGACCCTGCCTACCACGGAACCAAACACTGCCTGGGCCTGCCCCGTCCTCACAGTGCTGCTGCTTGAGCCCACTGTTGCAGCCACTGTGCACCTGTGTCCGTTAGAGGCTTGTTCTTTCTCGCTGGCCCTCTGCTTGACCAAGCAGGATGTCCTTCCCCAGGGACTGGCTTCTCCTGATAACATGTCTAAAGTTCCCGAGATGAAGTCTTGCCATCCCCGCTTCTAAGGAGCATTCTGGCTCTACTTCTCTCAAGATGGATGTTGTTTGTTTGTTTGTTTGTTTGTCTGGCAGATCATGGTATATTCGATCTTGTTCACCAATACCATATATTCAGTGCATCACTTCTTCCTCAGTCTTACTTATTCATTATCCAGTGCTCATATACATACAACACAATTGAAAATAGCGGGGCTTGTGTCAGGCACACTTTAGGCTTCAATGTGACATATCCAAGGAAAATGAAGTCCCTGACAACTTCGATCTTTTCTCCATTTATCATGATGTTGCTTTTTGGTCCGATTGTGAGGATTTTTGTTTTCTTTCTGTTGAGGTGTAATCCATAAAGAAGACTGTAGTCTTTGATCTTCCTCAGTAACTGCTTCAAGTCTTCTTTGCTTTCAGTAAGCAAGGTTGTGTCATCTGTATACAACAGGTTGTTAATGAGTCTTCCTCTGATCCCGATACCCTGTTCTTCACATAGTCCAGCTTCTCAGCTTATTTGCTCAGGATTGAATAAATATGATGAAAGGATACAACCCTGATGCACACCTTTCTGATTTGAAACTATGCAGTATCTTCTTGTTTTGTTTGAAGGACTGCCTTTTGGTCTACATGTAGGTTGCTCATGAGCACAATTAAGTGTTCTAGAATTCCCGTTCTTCACAATGTAACCCATAATTTGCTATGATTCATGTAGCTGAATGCTTTTGCATAGTCAATAAAACACAGGTAAACATCTTTCTGGTATTCTTCACTTTCAGCCAAGATCCTCTGACATCAGTAATGATACCTCTTGTTCCACGTCCTCTTCTGAGTCCAACTTGAGTTTCTGGCAGCTCCCTGTTGATGTATTGCTGCAACTGTTTTTAATTATCCTCAGAAAAATTCTATTTGAGTGTGACATAATGATAATGTTCAATTTTTCCTGCATTCTGTTGGATCACCTTTATCTGGAATGGACACAAATATGGATCTCTTTCATTCAGTTGGTCAGGTAGCTGTCTTCCAAATTTCTCAACACAAACAAGTGAGCACCTCCAGCACTGCGTCCATTGGCTGAAACACCTCAATGGGGTCTGTCAATTCTTGGAGCCTTGTTTTTTGCTCAGGCCTTCAGTGCAGCTTGGATGTCTTCCTTCTACACCATAGATTCCTGATCATATGCTACCTCCTGAAATGGTTGAATATTGACCAGTTCTTGTTGGTACAATGACTTTGTGTATTCTTTCCATCTTCTTTTGATGCTTCTTGAATCTTTCATTATTTTGCCCATAGAATCCTTCAGTATTGCAACTCTAGGCTTGAATTTTTTTCTTCATTTCTTTCAGCTTGGAAAACATCAAGTGTGTTCTTCCCTTTAAGTTTTCTAACTCCAGGTCTTTGCACATTTCATTATAATGTTTTACTTGCCTCTCCAGCTGCTCTTTGAAATCATCTATTCAGTTCTTTTACTTCATCATTTCTTCCATTTGTTTTAGCTACTCTACATAAGAGCAAGTTTCAGAGTCTCTTCTAACATGTTTTGTTTTTTTCTTTCTTCTCTGATTTTAATGGCTTTTTGTTTTCTTCATGTATGCTATCCTTGATGTCATTCCACAACATATCTAGTCTTTGGTCATTAGTGTTCAGTGTGTCAAATCTGTTCTTGAGATGGTCTCTAAATTCATGTGGGATATCCTCAAGGTCATATTTTTGGCTCTTGTGGACTTGTTTTAAGGTGCTCTGTGGTGTAGTGGTTAAGGCATTTGCCTGTTAACCAAAAGGTCAGTGGTTAGAATCCACAAGCTTCTCTGTGGAAGAAAGATGAGGTAGTCTGTTTCTGTAAAGACTTATAGCCTTGGAAACCCAGTGGGATCACTATGAGTTCTAAAGCTTCAATTTCAGCTGGCACATGAACAATTGATGGTCTGTCCACAACCAGTCGCTGGCCTTGTTTGACTGATGGTATTGAGCTTCTCCATCATCTCTGTCTACAGATGTAGTTGATTTGATTCCCGTATATTCTGTCCAGTGAGGCCCATGTGTATAGTTGCCATTTATGTTGTTGAAGAAAGGTATTTGCAATGAATAAGTTGTTGTTCTTGCAAAATTCTGTCCTGCAATCCTTGGCTTTGTTTCTATCATCAAGACCATATTTTTCAACTACCAGTCCTCCTCCTTTGTTTCCAACGTTCTCATTCCAATCATCAGGAATTATCAGTGCATCTTAATTGCATATTTGGTCAGTTTCAGACTGCAGAAGTTGGTAAAACTCTTCAATTACTATATCTTTCTTTTTCTTTACTGGTTTATGTGTAAATTTGAATAATCATTGTATTAAGTGGTCTTCCTTGCCTGTGTTTGGATATGATCCTGTCACTGACAGCATTGTACCTCAGAATTGATCTTGAAATGTTCTTTTTGATGATGATTGTGATGCCTTTCCTCTTCAATTTGTCATTCCCAGCGTAGTAGACCACATTATTATCCGATTCAGAATGACCAACACCAGTCCATTTCATCTCACTAATGTCTCAGATATTGATCTTTATATGTTTCATTACAGTTTTTCACAACTTCCAATTTCCCTAGACTCATGCTTCATACATTTTACATTTTGATTACTTATGGATGTTTACAGCTATTTCTTCCCACTTTGAATCATACTACATCAGCAAATAAAGGTCCCGAAAGCTTTACTCCATCCATGTCATTAAGGTCAACTCTACTTTAAGGAGGCAGCCCTTCCCCAGTCGTATTTTGAGTGCTTTCCAACCTGCGGGGCTCATCTTCCGGTACTGTAACAGATAATGTTCCACTGCTTCTCATAAGGTTTTCAGTGGCCAATTTTTTTCAGAAGTAGACTGCCACATCCTTCTTCCTTGTCTGTCTTAATCTGAAAGTTCTGCTGAAACCTGTCCACCATGGGTGACCCTGCTGTTATTTGAAATACCAATGACATAGCTTCCAGCTTCACAAACATGCAAGCCACCACAACATAACAAACAGTGCACAATCCGAAGTTCATGGAGGTAATCAGCCATGCATTCCACTTCCTCCTCCTATTCCTGGATCTCCCTCTCTCTCCAGGCAATCTGTAATCAGTGTCATGGAATTATACTTGTAGAAATTGTTGAATTTGCATATTTTCTGCCTGTGTGTATTCTCAACAATAACAACTGTGGCAGTCAAGGTTATGTGTCAACTTGGCTGGGCCTGGTTTTGAGTGGCTGGGCAGCTGAAATCTGTGAACGGCTAAGTAGCTGCCTTAGGGATGTGGTCTGCTTCCAAGGTACAAGAAGAAGCTTTGAGAAAGGTCTCTGAGATTTTGGCACATTTGGATCCTACATTTGGCCGAGTCGTCATCTCAGTGGCCTGTCGTGTTTTCTGCCAATCTTGGGACTGTTGTTGTTATGTTGTTGTTATGTGCCGTCGAGTCAGCCCTGACTCATAGCGACCCCTCCTTGGGTTTCCGAGGCAGTATCACTACGGAAGTAGGATTGCCCAACCTTCCTTCCGAGGAGTGGCTGGTGGGTTTGAACCGCCAGCCTTCTGGACAGCTTAGTGGACTTGAATTAGTGACCTGTTGTGTTGCTTGATAATTTTGGGAATTTGCCACTTCACTTGTCAACCTTGGGTTTGTCAGCCTCAGCAGCCAGCAGCTGCCTGAGTTAAGAGAAGCCTCCAGCTTCACTGGGCTGGGAGCAAGAGGCAGAGCTGAAGCCTAAGGCTGAGGAGTTTCCACCCAGCCCCTTCAGCTGGCACTTTGAATGTGGCTTCCAGCCTCCTAAACTGTAAGAGGCTAATTCCCATTTGTGAAAGCCATCCATTTGGGGTATTCTCTGTTAGAGCAGCACTAGATAATCAACACAACAACAGAAATAAATTATTTAAAAAAAATCAACATAGCTACTGCATGGAAGATGACTGCGAAGGAGCAAGAGTAGTCTCAGGGAGGTTAGGAGTCTGTTGCAATAGACAAAGACAAGAGATTGTGATAGCTTAGACTAGGGCTGAAGAAGTGAAATGAAAAGAAGTCAACATCTAGGAGGCATTTCGAGATGGGTTGATTGATATAGAACAGGAAGGAACAGAAGGATCAACATTTATGTTGAGATTTTTTGCCTGAGGAACTGGATGGATGGTGATTCAGTTTTCTGAGAAGGGGTGACTTTGGGGAAGACCGTATTTGGTGGATAGATATGTCAACCAGTGTAGATGAGTTTGGAAAATTGTTAGAGTGAAGGTACTATACAGAGCAAGTTGACAGGATAGGAAATGATGGTCAGAGGGTTAAATTTTTTTTTTTTTTTTTTTTTGGTTGTGATTTGTGTGAAACTTTGCAGACAAATTGGTTTTCCATTCATCAATCCACACACATTCTGTTTTGTGACTTTACCTTCAATCCCCACAATGCAACAGCACTCTCCCCATTTCTTCCCTGCACCCACTTCTTCCCTTTGACTTTTCTTCCCATCCCTTTCTGCCTTTCTAGCTCTTTCCCTGGGCAAATATTGCCACCTTGATCTCATGTGGTTGATTGTTCTAATGAGTACATACCCTCCTGGCATCACTGTTCACCTTATAGGCCTATCTATTGTTTGGCTGAAAGTTCAGCCATGGGGGAAGTATTAAATGTTTTAAATAGAAGTGTTGGAGGTAGTGTGGTGATGACAAGATTTAGGGTAAGGATGGATGATAAGGAAATTTGTTGATTCAAGAAAGAGAAAGACCATGGTGTTGAGTGGCCCTTCTACATGGATGTAGAGGCAATGCAAAATGATAGCAAGAGCTGTAGTGTAGAGGAAATTGGTGCTAAAGTTTCAGTGAGGCAGGGGGACTATGCTGAAAAACATCCTGAGGTTGCTCCTTAGAAAAGTCTTCTTGCACAGTTGACCCTTGGCTGGCATTTGGGAACTTAGATGCAACCAGTATTCCTAGAACTGATCAAATAACTTACTAAACTGCTTGTACAAACAATGTGGCTTATGCTGAACACCTGCTTTCCTTCTGGGACTCTGGAACTTTTGTCTGTGTGAGGTAGAGGATGCCTATATGACGGTTGTTGTTGTTATGTGCTGTTGAGTTGGACCCGACTCATAGTGACCTCTCCTTGGCTTTCCAAGGCAGTATCACTACGGAAGTAGATTGCCCAACCTTCCTTCTGAGGAGTGGCATGCAGGTAATTTATTGGTGCCCTGTAGGATATATGTTTGAATACATTTATTATATCAAAATTCTTCAATAGCTGTTCATTCCCCTTTTCACATGCCTAACAATATAATTTAACAGGCTTTAAATTCTCCTCTGTACCCTTCCAGTTATAGTAGGAATTGAAAATTGTATTGCTGATTATTGTTCTTATCTTACATTATACTTCTTGTTTTCAAGGATACATTCATAACAGCTGCACAAGCACGTTGCCGAGTTACTTAGATTAGCTAGACATGTTACTGATTTCTTTTAGTCATGTTGTTGTTGTTATGTGTCGTCAAGTCGGACCAACTCATAGCGACCCCTCCTTGGGTTTCCAAGGCGGTATCACTACGGAAGTAGATTGCCCAGCCTTCCTTCTGGGGAGTGGCTGGTGTGTTTGAACCGCCAGCCTTCTGGTTAGAAGTCAAATGCCTTAGGCACTATGCTACCAGGGCTCCCTAGCTCTCTCTAATCGTGGTGAAAGTATACACACCAAAGCATTCACCAGTACAACTCCCACACAGAGCTCTCTCTCTCATGTACTGTTTTTATCAATCTTGAAATCTCTATTCCAAGTAAACTTTCTTTTAAAAAATCTCTCCTTTTCTCCTTCTCCTCTTCCTTCTCTTCTGCATCCTGATCTCCTTCTCTTTCTTTATAGGTAGACAGGTAGCATACTTTCTGCATCTTTACAGGCTTAAAATGTCTTTCTCTTGCTCTCGAACATGAATGATTTTTTGACTCATGATAAAAATCAAAGGTCTCTGGTGGAACCCCTGAGACCATGGCCCCTAGCTGCCCTTCAGTTCTGGAATTGAACCCATTCCTGTAGCTTCCAGCCAGACAAAAGACAGGTGTATGAGCTGAACATTTACATTAGGTAGATACACTCCTTGGAGAGATCAATCATGGGAGAATAGAAGGGCTGTGTATGCACAGGGAGACAGCTCAGGGAGCAGGAGTGCAGGGGAGGAAAGTACACAGGGAAGAGATAACAATGAGGAGGAAGTGGGAGGAGAGCTATTGCATTATGGGAAATTGCAGTCAATGTCATGAGACAAAATGTATGTCAACTGCTATATGGAAGATGAATTTGCTCTGTAAACTTTCACCCAAATCACAATAAAAAGTTAACAAAAGGAAATACACACACACACACACACACAATCAAAAGTCTCAATTTTTCTACTTCAGAAATCTGTAAACACTTCTCCACAGCCTTTTAGCATTCAATGCTATAAAAGAAAAGATAATAATAATTAAAATAAAATAAATAAACCTGAATATGTTTGTCTTTTTTTTTTTTGGTAAATTGTCTTTCTTTCTGATATAGTTTATGTTAGGTACTGTCAAGTTGGTTCTGACTCATAGTGATACTACATACAACAGAATGGAACACTGCCCAGCCCTGCACGATCCTCTGTCATTGTTATGCTTGAGCCCGTTGTGGCAGCCATTGTGTCAGTCCATCTCGTTAAGGGTCTCCCTCTGTTTTGCTAACCCCACTCAAGCATGTCGCCCTTCTCCAGGGACTGGTCCCTCTGACATCAGTGTGATACTTTTATTTATCCTCTTATGTAAACAAATTAACAATAGGGTCATTTTTAATTTTTTTTTTTCCAAAAAAAGAAAGGAAAAGAAAAATAGAGTAGAGAATAGATATCATCCTAGCATCCTGGTTAACATTGCGTGGTCAAGGTAAGAACAAGTTATTCTTTTCTTGTCCAAATCACCTTCTGACTCTGGATAACATTAGACTGAACAAGCATGTAATGTGCTATTACAGGGAGAGGTAACATTCAAAGATGTGATGATGGCCTTTACACAAAAGGAATGGGAACAGCTGGATCCTGTTCAGAGAAACCTGTACAAGGATGTGATGCTGGAAAACTACAGCAACCTGGCCTCGATGGGTAAAGACAATTGCTTTGTAATTCAAAATGTCTCCAGTGTGATACCACCTCTCTGAAGTCCTTGATAAGTTTGGCCTTGATTTTTATGGGTCAAAGAGTTTTAATCTCTTTTGGGTATTATATAGGGTATTTGTGTCCCCAACTCCAAAAAGGAAGACCGACTCAGTTCAGGTATGGGGATATCTGCATTGTGAAACTTTAGAAGCCACATCTTATCCTTTAAAGGCCCTGAAGCTCAAATATCAGAGCTTGATTTCTGGGATATTTGTTCCTCTCCATTCAATTTCTGGCATTTCCTGTGAGCAGGGTATGAAGCTCCCAAACCAGACATGATCTCCAAACTGGACCAAGGAGAAGAACCATGGTTGAGAAGGAGGAAGAGACCAAGTCTAGGTTGTCTGAGTGAAATAGTGACACGTAAGCAAACGGAAGCCAATGGAGGTAAGTTCCTAGTTCAGTAACTTTGAAAGTTTTCAAAGAATAATTCTTAAATTCTTTTTAAATACCCAAGATCTTTCTTTATTAACCAAGAAGTAGCAGTAGAAAATTATCAGCATCCCTTGAGGGAAGTGTGATTCAAACTACAAGGAGTCCCTAACCATGGAGATTCTGCTATCTTTTTCTTCTGTGAACCTCTCTGTGGGACAGGTTCCCATGGCAGGTTCACTATATAGTGAGAAATTCTTACTTATGGGAGCTTGATTATACTGCTTACATCAGTCAGCTTAAGCTAAGATATACCCCATTAAGAAATGACCCCAAAATCTTAGTAGCTTACAACAAGAAAGACTTAATTCTTGCTCGAGCTACAGCTCTGTTCCACATTATCTTCATTTGGAGACCTAGGCTGAAGGAGCAGTCCCTATCTGGCACATGCTAATCATCTAGCAATGGGGAAAAGGGTATTTGGAATCCCATGATGACTCTTGCGATTGCTGATTTCAAGTTGTAGTTCTCTCTTTCTAATCATACATTATTGATCAGAGCAGATCTCCTTGCCACTTCTGAGTCCAAGATAGCAGGAGTGTACAATCCTTCCAAATGGCCCACCAGTGGGGTCCAGAAACAATTATACAGTCTACCACACTACTCAGGCTATAGTAGGAAAAAAATAGAAAACCAAGGCTCCAGACTCTGATAGTAATATAAATTAGTCGCCTAACCTGACAAGAACAAAGGCATGATCCATAGTAATCTATTGGAAAACAAGTTGCAGGTGATGCAAAGTTTGTTTGCCAAGATGATTGCTGTGAATTTTATCATTTGGTGAAAACATCAGGGATTTCAGAATAATTGTAGGTTACTTATGTATTTATTTAAAACACAGCTTGTCGTTAGTATATTGGTCATGAGGGGTACGGTGAAGCATCCTTTCCTGCTTATTTGCTGCAAACCAAAATCAACAAAATCAACCCACTGCCGTTGAGTTGATTCTCACTCATGGTGGTCCTTTAGGATGGAGTAGAACTGTCCTATAGGGTTTCCAAGGCCGTAAATCTTTACCAAAGCAGATTGCTTCATCTTTCTCCTGTGGAGCAGCTGGTGGGTTTGAACCGATGACCTTTGGGTTAGCAGCCAAATGCTTTAACTACTACACCACCAGAGCTACTTCTTATTTGCTCACTTACCTATAAACTGCTCAATACTCCTTGGTGGACTCACAATATTTTCTCTATTTTAGTATTTTGTTTTTAAAAACACAACTTTACTTGATTTAGCCTAAGTAGAATAGAGGAATTTTTTAAAATCAGGACATGGGTTTATCTGTTATAACCTAGGGGGAGGTACTTCAGCCAAACCTCCCCAGGAACTAGAACCAGGAACTGGGAAGCCATTAGCATTTGAGGTTCTGCAAATGGTCTCATTGGGGACACATGGTCTTACAGCTCTGCTTTTCTGCTTGTGTAAATTTCATTTTTTTTTACTGATGAGCTTTCTGTTTACATAGGAAAAATATAGCTATACTAGAATCATCTTAAAATGAGCCCTGGTGGTGCAATTGTTAAGCACTTGGCTGCTTACCAAAAGGTTGGCAGTTTGAACCCACCTTGTGGCTCTGCAGGAGAAAGGAAAGATTACCCCATAAGCCAGTTCTGCTCTATTGCATGGGGTTGCTGTGAGTCAAAAATCAACAGCACCTAATAAGAACAATAGAGCCATCTTATGTAACTTCTTAATTTATTCATCCAGTGGAGACTAGAGTCTAAACTCTTAGGTGGAAGAGGGGTCGCTATGAGTCGGGGCCGACTTGATGGCAAACAACAACAGCCCAGATTGCAGATTGATGTTTACAAATACTCAAAACTATTTCTAATCACTATTGTCAATTTTCTTTCCTTGTGTTTGCTGTATAGCAGGTCCAAGACTATAGGGCATTTTCCCCTTGATATTTCTTTCACTTTGGGAGACTAGGCATGAATAAAGATTCAGCCCCCTGACAGGGAATTTCATTATCAATTTTAATCCATAACATGAGGGTGGAAAGAGTCACAAGACTAACCCCATGAATTCCATTTTAGAAGAAGCCCAGAGAGCTGATGGCCAGGCGGAGGAGCACCAGGAATCTCGAAACAGACTCTCCAGGGAAGTCGCGTTCACGAAGAAAATCGTGACTGAAGAGAAAGGCTTTGAGCATAGTTCATCGGGGAGAAAAAATAATGTGAGTGCAAAACATGTTCCTTCCAAAAACAGACGTCCTGAATTTGGTTTACATGGAAAAAGTTTGAAACAGAATTTAGACTTAGCTGTTCATGAAAGAAACCATGTGAAAAAGACACCTGACGCAGCTGAAGAACACAGGAAATCATCTAGTCATAGCTTATCTGATACAAAGAAAGACAAACGTCAAACTGGGAAGAAACATGAGAAATTATCCAGCCGTAGCTCATCTGATAAGCACGACAAAACTCAAACTGGAAAGAAACATGAAAAATTAACCCATCATAGCTCATCTCATACTAAGCAGGATAAAATTCAAACTGGGCAGAAAGATGAGAAATCATCCAGCCATAATTCATCTTCCACTAAGTGTGACAAAACTCAAGCTAAAGTGAAACTCTATGAATGTAACCAGTGTGGGAAGGTTCTCAGCCATAAACAAGGACTCGTTGACCATCAGCGAATTCATACTGGGGAGAAACCGTATGAATGTAATGAATGTGGGCTAGCCTTTGGCCAAAAGTCTCACCTTGCTGTACATCAGAGAGTTCACACTGGAGAAAAACCATATGAATGTACTCAGTGTGGCAAAGCCCACAGTCACAAACATGCCCTCACTGACCATCTAAGAATTCATACTGGCGAAAAGCCCTATGAATGTACTGAATGTGGGAAAACCTTTACACATAGCTCAAACCTCATTCAACATGTAAGATCTCATACAGGTGAGAAGCCCTACGAATGTAAGGAGTGTGGGAAATCCTTTAGGTATAACTCATCTCTTACCGAACATGTGAGAACTCACACAGGTGAAATACCATATGAATGCAATGAATGCGGAAAAGCCTTTAAGTATAGCTCATCTCTTACTAAGCATATGAGAGTCCACACAGGTGAGAAACCCTTTGGATGCAAGGAATGTGGGAAGGCATTTAGCAAGAAGTCACACCTAATTATACATCAAAGAACTCATACTAAGGAGAAGCCCTATAAATGTAAAGAGTGTGGAAAAGCCTTTGGACATAGCTCATCTCTCACTTACCACATGAGAACTCACACAGGGGAAAGTCCCTTTGAATGCAATCAGTGTGGGAAAGCTTTCAAACAAATTGAAGGCCTTACTCAACATCAGAGAGTTCATACTGGAGAGAAACCCTATGAATGTAATGAATGTGGGAAATCCTTTAGCCAAAAATCACACCTTATTGTACATCAGAGAACTCACACTGGGGAGAAACCGTATAAATGTCATGAATGTGGAAAAGCCTTCAGTGCAAAGTCACAGCTTGTTACACATGAGAGATCCCACACTGGAGAGAAGCCCTATGAATGCAGTGAATGTGGGAAATCTTTCAAACAAAATGCATCTCTTACCAAACATGTGAAAACTCATTCCAAAGTGAAATCTCATGAGTGACATTAATGTGGGGAATTTTTCAACTGAATTGGAAAACTGAAGGCTTTAAGTTAGAAATATTTTGAATTTAATGAATGTTAGAGAGTCTTTAGCAAGTACCCACACCTCATTGCACATGAAAGAATTTGAAAATGGTTCTTTGCATAGAAGCATTGGATGGAAATAAGAGTTCAATGTTCTTACCAAATCTCTTAGAGGAAATATTGTTTTAAAGACACTGAAGTATATAAATGATCTGTATGTTCAGTTTGAAATATAAAGCTTTCAAAATTGTAAATAAATTGAACAATAAATCGGAACAATTGAGGAACGAAATTACCTGTATCTACAGTTTCTGAGTTGCTTGGATGTTGTGCATTTAAGCACCACCTACTAGAATTAAATTTGAAAATCTATGCATTGCCATGTATAAATGGATATGGCTATTAGTATGAGTGTCTGCTTTTATATCAGTTCCTAGATTTCTTTCTGCTTCTGCAACAGCAGAAAATTTAATAAAGGGGTTATTATTCATGTAAAAAATGTTAACCTAAAAATGAGAAAAAATGAAACAAAGCAGGTGAGAAAGCACCTATGCTGGTGTAGAATCATGTCTGAGATATATTGTTGTGACAAAAGCAGGTTGCAGAACCGTGGGTATGATATACCCCTCTGTTTGTGTATGAAAGAGTGTGTGTTTGTCTCTGTATCTCTTAATCTCTCTGTCTCTCCATATTTGTTTGCAGGTGTATTCATATATTTGTATGTACATAGACTGAAAAAAAATGCAGAAGAAACGTAAATGTGATTGCCTTTGTGCAAAGGAGTATAGGATTGGGGGTCTGGGATGAGAGGGAGACCTCTTTTTTATTGTATACTGTTTAAATTGTATTATCATGTACATATATTATTTTCACAATTAATACTTTTAATATGCATAAATCACTAATTAAAATTTTCACTGAGTTCACTGCACTATGTTGTTTGTTAAAGCAAAAAAGTTTCTAGGCTAATTTATACATGATGATGAGTTTCAGAGGTATGTGCCATTACATTTGATACTTACTTCACAGATTTTTCTTATCAAATACAAGTTGTCTCATTAAAATAATGAATTGCAACTATAACTCAGTGCTGTGTTTTTTCTGTTTGCCATTTTTCAGGAGCTTGAAGATGAATTGTGATTGCAGGTGAATGAAAGTGATTTTCTGAACAAATACTACATTTTGTCTCATATTTAGAGTACTAATACACAGTTACCCGAGTCGGATTTCAAATGTATTGCAACAAATGCCACCACTCCCTGTTCTTGTTCAGTAGCAGGCCTGTTAGTGGACCACTGCAGAGGAAGCCCAGACTAGGTCTCAAAATAATTCTCAGTCATTCTCCAGAAGGTACAATGAGTTCATGTGGGTTTGCATGGAAGATCTATTTGCCATTGCATACTAGGTATTTTTCACTCTTGAGTCATACATGACAAATATGCGTGCTGCCATTGAGTCGATTCCAACTCATAACGACCCCGATTGGGACTCCCAGGCTGTAAATCGTTATGGAAGCAGATTGCCTGCTCTTTCTTCTGTGGAGTGGCAGGTGGGTTCAAACCACTGATCATTTGGTTAGCAGCCAAATGCCTTAACCATTAGACCACCAGAGCTCCTTATGACAAATATAGCTGAACTATTAAAAAAAAAAAAAAAAAGAAAGAAAGAAAAAATTATTGTGTTTTTGGTGAAAGTTTACAAAATAAATTAAGTTCCCATTTAACAATTATAGTTGACCCTTGAACACTGTAGGGGTTAGGGACGCCAACACCCTGAGCAGTCAAAAATCCACGTAAAACTTTTAACTCCCCAAAAACTTAACTGCTAGTAATCTACTATTGACCAGAAGCCTTACCAATAACATAAACAGTTTCTTAACATAGTTCTTGCCCTATAATTATTAGATTTTGACATGAAGATACCCAAACACATACACAACAGGTAAGTTTATTAGTTTACAGCATGATAATTATTTACTGTTCACTAAGTAGGGAGTTCTGGTAGCATAGTGCCTAAGGCATTTGACCGCTAATCAGAAAGCTAGTGGTTCAAACCCACCAGCCACTCCTCGGAAGGAAGGTTGGACGATCTACTTCCGTAGTGATACTGCCTAGGAAACCCAAGGAGGGGTCGCTATGAGTCAAGTTTGACTCGACGGCATATAACAACAACAACAAATGGAAGTAGATCATCCTAGAGGTCTTCATCCTTATCATCTTCACCCTGAGTAGGCTGTAGAGGGGGAGGAAAAGGAGAGGTTGGTCATGCTGTCTCCGGGGTAGCAGAGGTGGAAGAGATGGAGGAGGTGGAGGGAGAGGCAGGTATACTTGGTATACCTTTACAGAAATACATGAAAACAATCCATGTGTCAGGGTCGTGTACAGTTCACACCTGTGCTGTCCAGGGATCAGCTGTACTACACAAATTGTTCAGAGATAATGGTTACATTTTCCACAATGAGTCAACATTCTCATTAATTCATTCTGGATGTCTTGTTTCCAGTAATCTAGTTTCCCTGTTCTCTTACCATTTCATCTTTACTTTAGAGAAACTGTTGACTATTTGGCCACATAAAGATGATCTTTAAAGTTGTGCAGTGCACACAGGTAATATTCTTTATTTTTTGAACCAATCTCTTATTTAGCTAAAAGGTGACCTCAGGGAGTTGTTTCAGTTCAAAGATAGCTAAACTATTGAAAATTTAAGTTGCTACACTAAAAACAGAGACCTAGGACAAAAAAATGATTTTGTAATATAAGAAAATAATTTTGGCATATCCATCACCTTTTTCATTTTTCATAGCATATTCACATTATCTCATTTGGTTTACAGAACAAACATATGAAACAGTAAGCAGGATTTGTCTAGTCATCCTCAATTCTGTTCAATAAATATTTCACCTGTTTCCTTTAGTAGAGGATGACCCCAAGGAGGGTCACTGTCCAGCATGCACAGAATCCAATCTCTGGACACTGGCCTTGCAGAAAGAGAATAGTTTTATTTATGTAGCACTAGGTAAGGAGCCAGGGGAATCTCCCTCAGATCTGATTCCCCAAGGTAAGTGTGAGTTACAGCTTCATAGGCTTGAAAAGAGAAGTTGTTCATTGAAATTCTAAGAGATCTAACACAGAAATTTTTAGGGTGGTGCAAGTGTGCATGCAGTAGTCATACATCACATGTTCGGAAAATGGCGGCCTTAGCATGATCAGCAGGGTCGTTTTCATGGGGGATATATCACTAGGTTATTTTAGGACAAGGTTGCTGTCTTCTGGGCGTGTTCCACTGGTCAAATCTGGTAGGAACCAGTGTACTCTTGTCTCCTGCTTGCAACTGCTGTCGGGGCATGGGCCAGTTCCATTTCCACTAACATATTAGTGTAGCATAATTATAGTCCCTTAAGTTTGTGATTACATATCATCTTTGCAGATACTTCTAGTTCAAATTCTTTGTCCTAAATCTTCATTTCAAAGACTTACAAAGTGTAAACCCTGAGAGCTCTTTGTGTGTGTGCACGTGTGTGTGTGCATGCATGCGCATGTGTGTATTGAGAGGGTGCAGTGCAGTGAATTACTTGCTATGATTCTTCTAGCCATGGGCTTTGTGATACCCACAAGATGACTGGGTGGAACTTAGCAAATATAAGGTGCCTGTGGCCCACCAAAGGGATTGGATAGTCTGTTAGTATGTTGTTGTTGTTGTTATTTGCCATCGAGTCAGACCCGACTCATAGTGACCCCTCCGGGTTTCCGAGATGGTATCACTATGGAAGTAAATTACCCAACCTTCCTTCCGAGGAGTGGCTGGTGGGTTTGAACCGCCAGTCGTCTGATTAGCAGTCAAGTGCCTTAGGCACTATGCTACCAGAGCTCAGAAATAAGGTATATGGAATTCTAATGTGGGGATTGGTTAGTTTTGTCATTCTGGTAGGCTTAAAATGAACCTTCCTAGAGGCAGAAACTCCTTGGAAGGAAGATTGGGCAAACTACTTTCATAGAGATATCGCCTAGGAAACCCAAGGAGGGGTAGCTATGAGTGGAATCCGACTTGATGGCAGTGAGGTGTTTTTTTTTTTTTTTTGGTTAGAGGCAGATGGGGATCTCACTGCCATCAAGAGAGAAGAGCCAGAGGTGCAGTGAGTGGAGCGTGCTCTGCACTGGACCCCCCAGCAGAGATGACCAGCCGAGAGATGGCAGCAGCAGAACCGTGAGGCCCGAGAGAGGGCAGTGGGCTTGCTGGCCCATGGAGTGAGAAAGCTGAGTACCTTTGCGCAAGAGTCTTGCTGATGGAGTGGGGTACACCTAGGTGCACTTACCGGCAAAGCTAAAAGAGCTTTGTAACACTTGCCCAGGCAGGACAGAGGCCGAGGACCAAAGAGAGGTGTGTCTGTGGGCATGGCTGAGGGGAGACTGTCCTGGTTGAAGAATCATATCCTGAGCATTCCTGAACCTCAGTTGTAACCTGTTACTTTCCTAAGAAACCCCATATTTGTGAGTATTGTGAGTTCTGTGTCGACATTCCATGAATTATTAAACGCAGCAGAGAAGTAGTGAGTGCTGTGGGAGGGACAGATGGTGTCAAGAGCTGGTAAAATGTTAGAGGGTGGCAGCATGTCTGGACTCAAGGAATCAGCCTTGGGCTGTTGTTGGTGATCTGTCTCCCCCTCATGAGGTTGGAAGGGGTCAGAGGAGGATGCCGCTTCCATGTTCTTTTTGCAGAGAGCAACTCATGGATATTACTCTTTTTTCTCCAACTAACTTATTTACTCTCTACTGAAGAAAATGCAATATCTGTTGCACCTACCCAACTCTGACCCCAAAGCTAGAGTGTATGGGTGTTTCCAGCAGAGAGAACCATCTGAGCAAAGATGTGGAGTTGGGATCAGTCTGCTATAAGGTACATGAGGGGGGAAGTGGTAGTTGATGAGGCCTGACAGTACGCTGAGCTCTGACTACAGAAGGCTGAGGACTTGACCATATA